GATGACAGGCTGAGAGCCATGGGGCTCCTTAGCTTGGAAAAGCGCAGGCTCAGGGGTGATCTGGTGGCCACCTATAAGTTTATCAGGGGTGACCACCAGGATCTGGGGGAACGTTTGTTCACCAGAGCGCCCCAAGGGATGATGAGGTCAAACGGTCATAAACTACTGCGAGACCGTTTCAGGCTGGACATAAGGAAGAATTTCTTTACTGTCCGAGCCCCCAAGGTCTGGAACATCCTGCCATCGGAGGTGGTTCAAGCACCTACATTGAACACCTTCAAGAGCAAATTGGATGCTTATCTTGCTGGGATCCTGTGACCCCGGCTGACCTTCCTGCCCCTGGGGCAGGGGACTGGACTCGATGATTTTCCGAGGTCCCTTCCAGCCCGAATGTCTAGGAAATCTATGAAATCTATGAACAAAAAGATTTATTATGTCGCAGAAAATCATCCAGATAAACTGCCCTCTAGAAGTTTTGATAACAGCATAAAAAGGCAAGTAAAGGCTCTTACCCTCTCAGCCGGCTGCCACCCAGCCCCCCACGAGTACTGCTGCTATTTCCAGAAACCAGCTTTCGGGCTGATTCTGCCAACCCTGGCTGCGGGGGACTTGGACTCCCCAAAGGCAGGGATCCAAAGCCCCAGGCCACCTTACAGACACCTCTTATAATACCTATGGTTCAGCACCCCCATCGGTCCTGTCCCGGTTCCTCACAAATCTCCACACTGCCCCAGAAGCTTCTCCCCCAGGACCCCTGGCATTTTGTGGTTAATGGGCCATTTCTCATAGATACCTTTGCTATAGAGGAGTTGATTTCCCCATTACAAAAGGAGACAGTAACTTCTCCTTTTGCCATGGTCTGGGAGTGGCAATTCTCGTTGCACTAGTGACACAATGGCAAGAGATATTTAGCAGAGATATTCTGTCCACTCCCTTAAGTATGCGTCCCTCAGCTCTTTGGGTAAACCGCATCCAAAATTGCAAATGTGAATACAGATGACGTAACATAATCTGCACAGTATTAACAGTGACGTAAATGGATACAGCATAGCATGTGTGTTTCAATGACACCACACATGCCGCATCAGTGAAATAAATACAAGAAAATATGCATGAGCCCCAGATCCTGGTGGGGTTTCTAATGCCCTTAATGTAAAATGTCAACTGAAATTACAGGGTGGGGAAGTGTAGGTTTTCCACAGAAAATCAAACTGGAAATTTCTATCCTGAAAGCATAGACAACGAGGGTTGGCAGGGACCTCAGGAGGTCACATCTTTAGTCCCGTGCTCAAAGTAGCACCATCCCCAGCTAACGAAGTAGGACCACCCAGGCCAAGGCTTTGTCTACCTAAGTGTTAAACTTCCCCAGAAATGCTCTGCAGAGCTTCAGGGGAACAGCAGTTTGGGTGGCTCACCCTGGCCACCATTTTGGGGGGGCAGGTTTTGTGTTTGGGGACAGCGTTCCCAGTGCCGCCGAACAGCCCCCATCTTGCTGAGCCACTGTGGTGCCTCAGACTGGGCTGGATACCAGGAGAGAATATAGGCACAAGGCATCTGAATCGGGTCCTCCGTGAAGTGCTTTAGTAGCTGAACTGAAGTCTTGGTCTTGGAATAACAGAGCTCAGCTGAGGCTGAAGCGAGAGCCTTGCAAGGCATGTTAATCTGGAGCGATTGTTGAGTGTCTGACAGTTTGGGAAGGGGCAGAGAGGAAGCAAGTTTTTTTCTAGGTGGGAATTGGTCTGAAATGATCTTAGTAGCACTGGCAATAATATTTGCAAAATCATGGAAGACAGACAAAATCCCAGAGGACAAGAGAGAGGCTAGCAGAGCCCCCTTCTTTGAAAAGGGGGGAAAACAAGGACCTAGGGAAGTAGACTGGTCAGTCTGACTCCAATACTTTGGAAGTTATTACAGCAAATTATAATACTGTTTGTCGGCACCTAAAAGGAGGGCAAGGTGATTGCTAGCAGCCAGCATGGATGTGTTACGAACGGATCATGGCAAACGAACATGTTCAAAGTAGACAAGGTATCTAGTCTGGTGTTGCAGAAAATGCTCTGGACCTAATATACCTGGACTTTAGTGGAGCTTTTGACCTAGGTTCCCATGGCTTTCTTGAGAAATGTAACATAGGTAAAATTACTATTATATGGCTAACTAATAAATGGGTCAGTGTCAAACTGGCAGGTCCCAAGTAGGTTGCTACATGGGTTAAGGCTGTCTGTTTTGTTCAACTTCTTTTATTTATCATGTGTATGTGGGAATAGAGAGCTTCCTGGTTGCGTTTGCAGATGGCACAGAGCCAGGTGGGGTTACAATGGTGTTTGAGGACAGAAGTAGATTTACAAGAACCTGGGTAAATTAGAGATTGAGAGAGGAAATTATAAACGAAATTAAATTCAACGAAGACCAGTGAAAGGTGCTGCATCTAGGTAGGAAGTATCCAAAGAACAAATGCAAAATGGCAGATAATTGGCTACGTTGTAGCATTGTTGTGAGGTAGCTGAGAACTATGGTAGATCTTAGGGGAAGAAATGACGCACAAACCGGTGTCAGTGATAGGAAACTGGTTCAAATCTGTAACAGAAGTTCAGTGCACCGGTTTAAGATAAACCTGGATGGATGTAGTATCAGACCTAACTGATTTAGGCCTAACTCTATTTAGGCTCTCTAGTCCCACATTAGGTTAAATCAGTTTATTGAACTTTTGTCCCAGTTCCCCTCCAGATTCAGGTTAACTTTTAGTCCTCCATCATCCCAGGATGCTTTGTGGATCCCTGGAACACTGCCCTGCCCACTTCCAGGGTGGGTGGGCTAGACTTGGCCCAAGCTATATAATCCAGCCAATCAGGGAGGTGTGCTCTAGTTGCACACCTGCCCCCCCCCCCCCCCCCAGGCTTCTGGCCTGGGCCAGTGCAGGCAGGTGGTTGCATTTCCAGAATCAAAAGTGAATGTCTGTTCACTTGCTAATCAGTTCAATCTGTGCAGCTTAGACTAACCTGCAAAGATTGACTTGATTAGCCTCGGGCTTTTTGACTGTCTGTACATAGCCAGCGTGAGGCAGCAATGTGATGCGGTTGCAAAGGTGAAAAAAAGCCAGTGCAATTTTGGGCTGTATTAACAGGAGGGCTGTATGCAAGGCATGGGGTGACAGCACCACTCCACTCAGCGCTGGTTAGGCTTCTGCTGGGACAGTGTGCGCAGTTTTGGGCTCCTCACTTCAAGAAGGATACAGGGAAACTGGATTGGATCCAGAGGCGAGTGACAAACATGACAAAGGTTTTGGAATGCAAGCCATTCAAGGAAAGGCCGAGGGAAATGGGCGTGCTTAGCTTGGAGAAAATATTTGAAAAGCTGCCATAAAGAAGAGAGAGAACAACTTTTTCCCTCTCTCAAGAGAGGATGAGATAGGAAGCAATGGCTTTAATTTGCAGTAAAGTGGATTTAGATTAAATCTTCTTAATTCTAAGATAAATTGAACAATAGAACAAGGTGCCCAAGGGAGTTGTGAATTTTTTATTTATTTATTTATTTTTAAATCGGAGCTGGTCATAGCAGTCCATGATTCTTGGTAGTGTCTAAGTTGTTCAGCAGCTGCCACTACTTATTCCTCACTGGCAGTCCTACTCCTCTGCTCATGATATCATAATTGGCTTTTGGTATTTGAGGCTTTGTTCTGCTGCCCATCACATTCAGTTCTGAGCTTCAGAGATAACCATCATGCTACAAAGGCAAATCTGAGCAGTGAAGAAGCAACAGCTGGAGACTCTTAAATTAGTCTTTGAGGTGCCACCCTGCTCTGCCTCCTACTTGTGGCAGTTCAGGTGGGAGCCAGTGGCTATCAAAACTGACGTTCCTTAATCCCCCTTGGCCTTGGAGGCTCCTGGGCTTGGGCAGCCTTGATTTATGTCAGTGGCTTCTCATGTTCATCTAACCAAATCCCCATGGCTTAATCCTAACTTCAACAAGAGCGCTTTGTGCCTGAGTGGATGTGTGCACACTGCTCAGCTGCCTTTGTATAAGCAGACTTTTTTGTGGAGTATCCAGAGAGGGTGGGAGTTCAATGCATCTTAGCCGACCGGCAGACACCCAAGGGAAAAGCCACAGAAAGGTATATTGTTTGCATATATTTGGGTGTGTGCCTTAAATGCAGAAGTACCCAAGTGGGTTGGATATGTTGGTGATCTGGGAATAAAGATCTTTAACAATAGGCAGACAAGGTTATTTGGGTGTATCTGATGTCTTTTATTAGACCAACTTAAAGAGTTGGAAAACAATTACTAAGCAAACTTTCGGGTTCAAAAACCCTTCCTCAGGCTAAGAAGGTTTCTGCAGTTGGTGCGTGCTCTTCCTGGATGGAATGAAAAGTAAAGAAGCAATGTTTTTCTTTCTAACTGTTGCAACAAAGATGTGCAAACATGTTTTGCAATTAGGGCTGTCAATCAATTGCTAATGTGCAATTAACACATTAAAAAAAATAATGAAAGAACCAATTTAACATGTTAATTATGCATGTGGCTTTGGAGCCTGCACTTGGGCTCTGCTCTGCCGCTGTCACTGCTGCCTCTGGGCCACTCAGCAGGACAGCAGTGGCAGTGCAGAGGGCCCCTGGGCAGCCTGGAAGTGGGCTCCAGGCTGCCGCAGCAGGAAGGTGGGGCGAAGGCAGAGCACGTGCACAGATGCACATGAGCAGCCACAGCCTGCATGCAGCCATGAACACAGCCTGGCGGTGTGTAGAGCAGTGCCCAGCAGGTACGTTTGAGGAGGAGGAGAAAGGACTGGGGGTGGGGTCAGATCAAAGCCCCCATGGTGAGGGATGGAGTGGGGCAGGGGCAGGGGCTGGGGTGAATGGGGCCTTGGGGCCGGGAGTGGGAAGGAGCCATGGGTGGCTTGTCTGGGGGTGTGGCTTCCTGACACTGCATGCACCCCTGGGGCAGGCATGGGGAGCATGTGCGTGGGGCAGGGGCGAATTGCCCACCGTGGGCTGTTGCTCTGTGTCCTGCTGGCTTTGCCCCAGGAGCCACTGCCTGCCCAGCGGTGGGAGGCACAACATGGCATTGTGCAACTCCCGGGCAAAGGCAGTAGGGTGCAGAGTCCCAGCCCACACTGGGCAGTCTGCCTTTGCCCTGAACACAAATCCGGGGGGGGCGCATGCCCCCCATGCCTCCCCCGAGGGTGCGCACAGTGGCAGGGAGCTGTGCCCCCCGCCCATGTCCCTGGATGAGCTGTCCATGGTTCCATGATGCACCTGGGCCCTGGAGTCGCATTCACCCCAGCCCCTGCCCCATACCCTCTCTCACCATGGGGGCCTCAATCTAACCCCTGCCCCTTCCCCTCCACAGACTGCTGGGCACTGTTTGCATGCCTGCCCCTCACTCCCAAGCCACAGCCCCCACCAGCCCTGCTGCTGCCCCTTATTTCAGACCCACAGTAGCCTGCATCCTACCAGGGCATGCAGGGCCCTCCCCCACACACTTACCTCCCAACCATACAATATACCTGCATAATTTTGCATAATTTTGAGTTTTTAGCTGCGGAATTAAATCGCGATGAATTGTGACTAATTTTTTTAATCACACAACTAATCGCGGTCACATTTTTTAATAGTTTGATAGCCCTATTTGCAGCATAACATACCAACAGGACTGGTGAGTACTGGTGCCAAGAAAGAAAGATCTTCCTTTGGTCCTGTTCTTCAGGCTGTCCCTTAGGAAGGGATCATCGGCTTTGGCTTGTGGGTAAAGCAGCCTGATTTTCATTTCTATCTCAGTTGCGTGGGCTGTGCTCTCAGCATCTTGATCATTGAAGTTGGGAATTTTGGAAGCAAGTTCAGCGAGAGCATGAGTGAGTGTATACTGCAATCTCAGCTTATGCTCCAGCTGTAAGCACTGTCATGTAGGACCCTTTGGTGCTACTGATAAAGTTCTCTCCTAGGAAAGGGGAGAAAATGTTGTGGGGAAGGCGCACAGCCAGGCACCCAGTTGGGAGTGTGGTCTAGTAGATGGAGGGACGTAGCAGAATCAGGACTCCTCGGTTCCCTTTCTGTGTTTCATATGCGAACGTGGGCAGGTCAGTTAATCTCTGCATGCCTCCTTTCCTCCAAAAGGGAAGAGGCAAGTGTCTCATTGGGGCACTGGGGGTCTTAACAAATTTATTGGAAAGTGCTTGGTGGCTGTGGAAATATATAACGTTGTCGTTACTGATTGGGATGCTCCTTTTTGTCTTGCAGAACAATGACCTCCTCTGGACAGATTTCCATCAGAAGCTTGTGGATCAGGCGCTCTTAACCATGGACACTTACCTTGGCCAATTCCCGGACATCAAAGTAGGGAGCTCCCCTCACTCCTCTTCCACTGTTCAGTAGAGTTGCGGGGACCCTGTGGGTTGCAAATGGAGCTCTGCAAGAGCCTTCATCTTAACACGCCATCATCTCTTATCATGGGTGTGGGGAAACGGATGTGGTACAGGATTGCCTTTCGGGGAATTAATTCTGGCCTTAGCTGGCTGAACAGTGGAGATGGTTCAACTGCAATCTCCTCTTCTCTTTTGCTTGGAGGATAGTTGCATTAGCAGCTGTGGGGCTAGTATCCGTGGCAGTGCATTAGAGAAGGAAGAGGGGGGACCCTGCTGTGCTGGAGAGACCCATGCCCATGGTGATGATACACTGAGTGTTGGCATCACAACTGGGTTAACATGCCCAGCAGTGGGATGGGCTGTGATGACCCAGGCTGTTAGGATAGTTGGCTAGACCCAGCGTGATAAATATTTACTAGTTTCTTCTGCCTCCAACTCCCATCCTTTTGGAGGGTGTGGAAAGCAACGGGTTGGGGTAGCTGGTGTTAGTTTAGCACTTTATAATCCACAGGCTTTCAGCAGTTCCTTGTTAGCAGAGCATATCTGTGGCAGAAGACCTGTTTGTGTGTCTGCGTCCTAAGAAGAGAGGGCTTCCAGGACTACCTGTCGTGTAAGGGAAATGAAACCAAGTCGGACAAGCCATCGTTCTTGCCCTTCTGCTACCTCTGCTCCTTTTGTCCCAGAGATGCATTCACTTAATTGAAAGGCTTTTTGGTGGTGCACCAGAGTGTGGGGAGGTTAGCCTGATCTTTTTGCTTTGTGCAGCATAAGCGGTATCTGGATCTGTGCGCCTGTGTGTGCAATTCCTTTCCCAAGCCAGCACCACGCCATCATCACTTCATTGATGACCACCAGTAGTCTTGATTCTCTTGTATAGGCAAAAACAGCATGGGGCACGCACGGCCCAGCCGCATGCAGCCTGCTGAGCTGATGGGCTCTAGTGGAAAACACGACCCGCGACAGTGACTGCAAGCAGGAAGTTGGTGTCAAAGAGGCACTCTCCAAACACTCCTTGTCTTGCATGTCCACCCAGCACAGCCTCCACTATTGCCAGGATTGCGCCGAACGGTGGAATGACCCTCTTGTGAAAATGTGGCTGGGATGGGCCAAACTTCCTGAAAGGCTGCAGCTCTGAGTTGCTTTTTATGATGCTGAATTTCATAGGGCCTGCAATTGTTCAGAGAGAAGAGCCCACGGGAAGATGAAAAACAAGAATATTCAGTAAAGTACAGCTCGTCATCCCAATGATCATGCTTCATCTTAGGTTTTTTTAATGCATTTTGGCTAATGTTCATGACTGGAGGAAGAGGGCTTCTGGGTGATGGCCCAGGATCAGTGTCAACCCTTTGATTGTCTGACTTTTTAGCCCTGTTGATATCTTCCCTGGAAGTGCAGAGCAGCCAGGAAACTGGCTAGTGCTGCTGGCCAATGTGCTTCAAAGGATAAGGCTGGTGTGGCAGGGAGGTTACTGAACCGGTCTCCAGCAAGCCGCTTCATGCTGGAGGGAGGTACTGATGGGGGGATATCTCTATTCCCAGCACAGGATCTTAGCATATCCTGTGAGTTTCTCTCCTTCTAGTCCCGTGATCTCCAGCACCCATTCATGTTTGGGAAGGCCGCACAGGAAATGTCTTTGCCATGTGGAAGCGCTTGTACAATGTCTCTATTTGGGAGGCATCGACTTGGCTCCTTCCCAGTGAAAACAACACTTCCCCTCCCTTGCTCCCTTGTTGTTTTACCTGAAATCATTGTATTTGTCATTGTTGTTTCTGGAGGAAAGTACCGTTTCAGAGGTACTTACAGAACAAGCCTTGGTCATGGAAAGCCCCATGGGGGCTCGGCTTCCTGGAGCTTCTTACCCCCCATGTGCTCTTACAGCCTGCCCCACACTGCACCGTAGAGGTTGAACAAATGGAAAGTCAAGTCCTCCTCCAAGCTGCCTCTGCCTGGGGCTACGATAGCAGCAGTCCCCTATTCAGTGCTCCTCTGTGTTGCGACTAGCAGCGCGGATGCTCTCGCACTGCTCTTGTTAGACTTCAGTGTCCGTGGAGATGCAGAAGGGCAGTGTGCACCTTCTTAAAGTTACTGTTTCAGGCTTTCTGCAGGCTTATTATTAGAGCTTTTCGAATCCCATAACTCTAATGGGACAGCATTAAGGTGTGAGGTTGGGAACGTCAAAGGAAAATGATGGCATTTAGGCACCTAAATCCCACCACGTTCTATGGGATCGGGCACCTAACTCCCTTCTGCAACTTTCAAAGTCCAGATGTAGCCGCAAGTGTTGCATTATTGATGTCCTCCCCAGTCCCCAGGTAGTGTTGCAACAGAGAGAAATGAAACCAGTCGCAGGCTTCGTTAAGGTCCTTTTCTCATCAAAACGATGCCCGCGTCTTGCTCCTTTCCTACAACTCGCCTCCTGCTGGGACCCACGACATCATGTTTATTCTAGCCAGCAGACCACTTCTTTGAAAATGTAAACCTTACAGGAGTTCTGCCTTTACGTCCTGTTCAGTTGGGATATGCCGCTGTCCTCTTCCACAGCCCTAAGAAGTGACTTCCATCAAGTTTGTTTTGCTTGAGGGCTAGAAACCATTATAAAAGATATTGCAAATCCCACATCTGTGTGACTGAATGGCTCCCCTTTCAACAGGTATTTAGAGGTGCCTCAAAGGTGACTTGCAAAAGGGAACAAAAAGTGAGTGATATGACATAACAAAAGCCAAAGAAATGGGAAGTGCTTGAGTAAGAAGGAAAGAACCATTTAGCTGGATACCTGCCAAACAGTTGGGAAGAAAGTTCTTTTTAAAATACTGAACAGCCAGTTGGACATGTCTACATGTTCATTAATGCACTTTATGTAATGCACTTTAAATCTAGTACTTCCATTGTAAATTACTAGAAAAATGCACATTAGCCTATTTAAATGTGCATTAGCTAAAGATCACGGTTTTTGTGATGCTTTAATGCGCATTAAAATAGGTTAATGCGCATTAAAGCACACATGTAGACATGCCCGGATACCTTCTCTTAAGCGCAGAGTAAGCTCAGGATCTGCTTTCTGGACATCTGAGACTCCCAGACACAGGAAAACCAAAGCTTGATATTCCCATTCTTTTTAAAGCTTAAAAGGAAGCCAATTACAAAACTTCAAAAACCTTCCAACACTCTTCCACCCATCGTAAAAACAACAAACACAAAGCCACCACAAAAGAGGACAAAAGTCCCCACTTCTTTTCCTCCTCTAGCAGGTCACTGGTTCTGGTTTCCTTTAATAGAAATGTTGCTTAATCATCATTTAAGTTTTCCGAGTGGGGTTTTTTGTCTGATTTCCTGACAACACAGATCTCTGAAGGATGCAGCGGGTGAAAGGGGTGCCGCTGCATTCAGGGAAGCTTTGATCAAAGCAGCCTCTGGATCTGTCTGTGCTGAGGTTTCTTTTTAAGCAATTTAAAAGTTGACTCAAAAATGCCAGGCTGCGTTTGTGTGACCAGGAACCTCTGTGTGTCTCCTTGTGTGATTTGCTGACCCATCAGAAGCTCATCAGGAGCTGGGCCTGTCCTGCAAGAGGGCCGAATGCTGAACAGATGTCAGGCAGCTGCACTCAGAGCTGTATCAGACATTTAATTAAAAGAACAAAAGAGGGTGATGAAATGAAAGGACAGAGTACAGCTGTCTGGCAGACGGTGATTGTGGAGAGCAGCCTGTCTGCAGCCGATAACCATTGGAGGACAAGCCAGGGAGGAGACTGCATCTCTCCCCAAGTGCAGGGCAGAGCCACCACTTGCAAAGCTAAGCCCAAATGTTGTTCCTCTTCTTGCACTTTTGCTTTTCTTGACGCGAGGGGATAAAAGTCCCCTATATGCTTAGTTTCTTGGCATCTCGGCTCACTTTCTCCAGCCCTCCACCCCCGCCATGCTGTGCTAGCCCACACAAAGTCCTCTCGCCAGCAGATCATCCTGACCTGGGATCAAATCCCTGCTCCTCCACAGACTTCCTTGGGTCCGCTCGGACACGTCAGGAAGGGCTGGATGTAGGTGTCTTCGGCAGAGCAGAGCCCGACCCTCGCTGGCCATCTCGGTCGTTTTCCAGTCGCGCGTGGAGGCAGTTCAGGGCAGGCTGCGCACTCCTGTCGGGAGAGTTAAATGCCTAAGAAGGTTATTTTTAGAAGCTGCCAGCTGCATAGGGAGCTGCTGGACGTGCTGGGGCGGCAAGAGGGGCTCCCAGGGCTGACCCGGTGCACCCGATTCATGGGCCGGAGACCGATGCTTCCCCTTGCTTGGCATCCTCAGCTGCAAACCCTCCCCAGGAGTTAGGACAGCTGTTTAGGAAGTTGGTCCCTACCTGCTGAAAGCGTCCTGCTCAATTTTTGTCCCCCCACTTAGTCTTATGGGTGTTGGGCAGCGCCTGAGCTATGGTTTTGAAAAGATCAGTGCCTACAGGGTGGACGTGGGTGCCATCTTCTTGGGAGAATCCCTTTCGCACTTGCTTCTCCTTACTCCCTTCCCCATGTGTAAAACATGGACGAGCGCTGCTCCAGGGAAGCTGTGGGGGCAAATGCATTGAAGATGCGGGGGTGCTGAGATGGGGCGGTAAGGGTCACCTCGCAGGTACCTAAGGTCGGAAGAGTTCTGCAATAAACCCGCACAGCTCTGCAAGGGTTCAGGCCTCGGTGCCAACAAACCTGATTCCAGGATCAGACTGTATGCTTATGCACTTCAGGGCAGGCACTGTGTCCCAGCCATGCCTGGGTGCTCCAGAAGCGACAGCGGAGGTGAAGGACGATATGCCAGCGTTTCCTGGTGAGACTGGGGGATTGCAACTGCTGGCATCGACCTCCCAAAGGGAGTGAGGCTGAATCCTGGAAGCCGGGGTGTTGCACTCAGCCTTCCCACGGGGCCAAATGGGGGGTGTAGGGCCAGTCTGCAGGCTGAATTGGGCCCACAGACCGGATCCGTGTTTTGGATGCAGGTGCCCTGGCGTGCTTCACAGACCTGCACCTCCAAGCGCTGGAGTGGCCGCTACCTGCAATTCAATCCTGGAGCAGCGTAGCGGCCACTGCATGCAGCTCGCTGGGCTATCTGGCGTGCCCTGCATACTGCCTTTGAAACCCACTGGCCCCTCTGGGGCTGGATAATAGGGCTCCACGAGCCGGATCTGGCCATATTTTTGACAGCCGTGTCGTAAGCAGCTGGAGAACATTGTACGTAATTCTGCCCAAACCTTAGACTGGTGGGGTAGGCTGCTGCAGCGTGGGCAGAGCAGGGGTGTAAATGCAGAGGGCTTCAGCTGATGTGCTCTGGTCTTCCTCTCTCCCCCAGTCTCGCATCGCCAAGCGGGGAAGGAAGCTTGTGGATTATGACAGTGCCAGACACCATTTTGAAGCCCTACAAACCGCGAAGAAGAAGGACGAAACCAAAATCGCCAAGGTAAAGCCCAGTTCCTCGGGGACAAGGCTCAGGCGTCTTGTCATTTCTTGCAGTCTGCAATAACTTTGGGAGGATGTTTTTAAACACGTTTTGCAAAGTGTCCCCAGATGCTGTTTTTGTTTAAAGAAATGGTGGGCAAGGATAGAGCCACCAGGCAGGGTCCTGCCCATCGGCTCCTCCTTCCTCTCCTTAGGAGAAGGCTCTGAAGTGTTTAGTGGGGGTCTTCTCTGCAGGGTGCAAAGTGAAGCTGTCCAGGACACACGGCTGGGCAATGGTGACCACAGAAGGCCAAATGGGAAAAGGAAGGGAGGGTTTTCTGGGGACTGCCCAGACCTCAGAGGAGGAAAGCTGGATTCCAGTTCCTGCTCTGACATGGGATACTGGTGTGCCTCAGTCGTCCCAGCTTTAAAAGAGGGATGAGACTTGCAGTTGGGTGCTGCGCGTTGGAGTCCGTGACGATTTGCCTAGTGCTGCGGGATGCCCTGGTTAAGAAACGCACAGCGGTGCAAGCGGAAGTATTATAGCACAGCTCAGAGAGGTTTTGTAGCCCGGTGAAGACGAGGGTTTACAAACCAGCTGGGGTGTCGCATACAGCCAGACATGGGAAACGGCTGTGCGGGACCACTGAGGACCTCCGCCACATTCAGCACCCCGCTGTCAATGCAGTGGGCTGCGAACCATCTGGACCCAAATGATCTGAATTTTATTGGATTTGCCCTCAATCAGAGTGGGCGCAGCGCAGTCACGGTTCGTTCGGAGCCTGTGTACTTTTTGCTGCTGGCCACAAATCCTCCGGTGAATGGTGCAGCTTTTTCCGACTGGGGGGTGATGCAGCCAGCTCCGGAAAATAAAACCAGGTTTATCCTTCATCCCCACGCCTCCCTTTCACCTCTCTGAGACTAGTGTTTTAGACACGTCGTTAGCATGTGTTAGCTCGTGTGTTTGCCAAGCCCAGTGTGTTTGAGGCAGCATAGATTTGGATGTGCTAAGCTTTTTGAGATGAATGCTAGGTTGCCCCTTGCAATCGGCTTAAGTGTTGTAAAGGCAGCTGGAGAAACCCCGATCCCACAGGTCTCAAAGGGGAATTTGGCCACGAGCCTTGTCTACACTAGATTTCTTGGACATTTTAGCTGATGCATTTTGCAGCCTCGTCCAGGTGAGGACCTAGGGAAGGGACGGGCTATATGAGGGCTATTGGTTCTATGTCGGGGTGGACAAAATGTGGTCCGTGGGCCGGATGTGGCCCGCCAGGCCATTCTGGGCCCACGGGGCCCCTAAAAAATTTAGAAAATTAATATTTATCTGCCCATGGCTGCTTGTCTTGCAACCCTTGATGGCTTGCCAAAACTCAGCAAGCGGCCCTCCACCCGAAATAATTGCCTGTCCCTGTTCTATGTGGACTTAGTGGGAAGGGAAAGAGGGTGTGAGAGTGATATGGAGGACTGGATTGACAGTTGTTGGAGGCTTCTGGTTCACACCTAAATGTTTTTCCCACATGGCCCATGTGATTGCTCAGACAAACCTTGGAGCAGTAAGAAATAATCTGTGGGCACGTCTACATGCGCATTAATGAGCCTTAACTACAGCGCATTAAATTTAATACCTGTTATAACAGGTACTAAGTTAATGCACCATAATTGGCGCTACTGTGTATTGGTGCAAATGAACGCTTTTTTTGTGACGCTTAATGCTTATTGGACTAATCTACTGCACATTAGCTCATTAGCACATTTTTTGCCAGCTGTGCTAGTGTGCACTAAATGAGCCCAATGGGCATTAAGCATCCCGGCGTGTCTGGGGACTGCCAGACTGATTTCCATCCAGGTGGCAGTTTTGTGTTTAGGTGATCAGTTGGCAGCACTTTGTTTTAAACAGTTGGTCTTCAGTCTTCTGGGGTTTTTTTGGTCATGCAGTGAGGATAACCTGACAGCAGCAGGGTGAAAGCAGCTGAACTGTGGATGCTCCCGAATCCTTGCATCATGGAGAAAGCCAGTGACCCTTATCCCACACGCAAGGGGTTTTTAGTCAAGTGGCTCCAAGGATTGAACATTCCTCCATGCCTCCTAATGAGAGAGAGCCTGGAGCGTGCACATGAATATCTCAATATTCATGTTAATATTGCCTGTTAACATGCAAGCTGATAAAGAATATGATATAAAGACTGAAGTTAGTAGCCAGGAGAGCAGGTTCTGTTCCAGGCTCTGGTGTTGGGTGACCTTTGACAGATCCCTTCAAAGTCCGCAGTGCCTTTCCAATGATCACCATGCTGTGCCTCAGTTACCCTATCTGGAAAATGGGGATGAGGCTACTTGCCTGCCCTTGCAAAGTGCTCTGTGATCTCTGGGTGGAAGGAACCATAGAAACTCAGAGGGTTGTTATTAAATGGAAAAGGTGTATTGCCATTTAATGTCTTCTGAACATCCCAGGGAAGGAAGGGCCCTGGCGGGTCATGTAGTCCAACCCCCGTGCATGGAGGCAGATGCCATTTTAGGACAGCATAAATCCTTCTGCAGGCAGGCGGCTCCTTTTCCCCTTTGCACAACCCGGGTGCGGCTGCCTCTTCCCCTTTAGGAAACCTGCCAGTTACTGCTGAACTGACAACACGCCATTAAAAGAAAGTGCCGTGGCCTGTCCGTCATTGCATGTGGATAATAACGGTGTTTAATTAATCCCGGCCTCTCTTTAAGCAGCTTCACAGCAAGCCCTCGGACCAGGGTGTTTGTGCGCTGAAGTCACTAACACTTCGTGCCTGTTGCTCTTTGCAGCTGGACGGCTGGTAAATAGTATCCCAGCCCCCGCGCCCTCTCTCACCCGATCGGATCATTAATTACCGCTAAACTTGGCATGCTTGGAGGGGTTTATAACTGATTGCCCCCTTGAGGTTTTGTTCCTCGCTGGCCTTGGTGACGTCGGGCTGACCCAGATCATAATGCTTTCCCTGTTGTGATTTTTATTTTCTAACCAAGATGTCTGTCTCTCTCGTTTCTTTGTTTTTCTCTTTCCCACTCCCTCCCCCCAGCCTGTTTCGCTGCTTGAGAAAGCTGCGCCTCAGTGGTGCCAAGGGAAACTACAGGCTCATCTCGTTGCTCAAACTAATCTGCTCCGAAATCAGGTGATTGCCACCCTACCTGGCGCTAACCCTGCACGTGCTCTTCTCGGCTCTAATCCTGTACCGTGCAGCCGATCGGCAGGCAGCGTTCACTCTAGCTCCCCTTCAGAGCTTGTTTCGATCATCCAGGAGCCAATCTCCAACTGGTCGAACACTACAGACACGTGAAATTGCCTCCGAGGCTGGGCCGGTGATTTTAACAGGCTGTAAAGCTATTCTGTTAAGTAAAGCGATGGGGAAAAGAGTATGTGGGGTAAGATCAGGGCAGATCATCTCGCGTCTTCCCACTGTCTTATTCAGAAACCTTAGGAGGATGGGTCGTGGCTTGTCGGCTGTTCAGCAAAGCCGTGCATGGGTATCCCCATGAAAGTGGCTTATATATTTGTGCAACTTAGATGCAAAACTTTCCCAGGGGGAAATCCAAATGTCCAGATTTTTTTTGCTGGGAAAATCTCCAGCGATTTCAGAGACCCATTTGGGCTGGATGAGCAGTGGGCCAGTGCTGCAGAATTTGCGTTGGGCACAAGCTTTCCGAGAGGGCTCGGAGCAAAGTGCTCCTAGGTGTCTCGTTATGGACCTAGAGATGGGTTTGTGGTTGTAGCCACGTGGGTCTAAGGACATGGGCGGATGTGATTTCCACACCCCCTCACGGCCACCCTGGTTGTAAATGGGCACGTTTGTTAACTGCACTGGGGGGGTTGCACCACCCCCTTGTGCACAGGTGGCGGCAGAAACCGGTGTGCCTCTGTCAGGCGACTCCGATGGGACCACGGAGCTTGGGGTTGGGGAACCTTTGACTTTTTTTGTAATTAGACTTCAAGTAGAAATCTAGGGGATTGCCCAAGCGTACCTGGATTTGGAGAAATGCGTTTTCGTGATGCAGTCTCCCTTGGCGCTTTCTTTCTTGGCAAGTCTTTGGTGAAGAACAGCAGGCACTGACAGGCAGGGGTTAGGGGTAGGGCTAGGTAGGAAGGAAAGCAAATAGCGGTAATGGGAAGAGGCAGGGAGTCATTAACTGGACTGGAAGGAACTTAACTAGCTACTTACTAGTTCTAGGAGGTCTTATCTGCTCACCTGCAAAAGCTCAGACTTCCTCAAATGCCTGCTCAGTGAATCATAGTTTACCAGCAACCGCTCTTACCTTTAAAGGACCTGGGGTTTCCACAGCCCTATTTTGACTTAACAGGGGCCAATAAAACACTGGATGGCATCATAAACTGTGCATCTGCTGATGCTGTTTGCAGTCTCGAATGCTGAACTGCAAGGGAGGAAAGGCATACACTTCCTATGGAGAAGGCCTGCAGGGGTTTCTTGATTTTTTTTTTTTTTTTTTTAAGGGCTGTTTTTTTACTGTAGAAATATTTGTAATATTCTGCTGGGTTTTTTTTTTTCATTTGTTATTTACTTATTTTATTTTTTGGCTGGAGGCCTTTTTCTTGGGGACTAGAGAACTGGAGAGGGGACATTTTTTAGCCCCAGATCAAAAGACTGCATGCTAACTCGTTAGAGACTTTCTTTAAGAGTCTGAATTAAATAGCAGTTTCACCAGTCCCAACTGATGGAAAATATCATGATCGGTTTAAACATCTCATGCAAAGTTACAGATCTGTTTTATTTGTGCTGAGCATGTATGCTATTCTGGGTTTTCTTCACTAACAGAAGTGCTAGAAATTTACTTTGACTTAAAAAAACACCAAAACCCCACAAAATGAATTTTCATGTTCAGCTGGCTTAAAAGAAAAAAAAGGCAAGGTCATATATGTGATGAAAATCAGATTCATGATAAGATCAGGGGGCCTAGCAATGCAGAAATTGGCTAAAAAAATAAATCAGAACCTTTATCAAATGCTCTGCTTTCAGCTTCTCGTTATATCATAATCTCATTAGTCTTCCAAGGTCTCCCAGTGAAAGAAGGGATAAAAACGATCAGCTCTCTTTCATGCAAAAAAAAAAAAAGCCCTGAAACAAGCAGCCTTTCAGACCTCTTCTAGCGAGCCGAGCGGGAGCTCTGCGGAGCCTGGGAGAGGTCCTCTTGCGGGGGTGTGATCAAGCTGCTCGGTCACTGTTTTAGTGATGGTAGTTTTTTGCAACAAAGAGGAAAACAGCTGAGGACAGCAAATTCCTGCCTCTTCTGAGCTCCACTGAAACGCTGGCTCCTGTCTGAGCAGCTGCATCCATCCCTAGCAGAGCTCAGGGTTTCTGCCCGTGTCCCAGAAACCAGTGGCCCCCAGTCCCTGAGCACCACAGCCGTCTGGTTTCCCGGAGGGTCAGGAGAGCTTGGTGGTTAGCGGGTTAGTCGAGGGACCAGTGTCCTGCTCTGTGCTCTGGTTTTTTTTTTTCTCCCTGTCCGGCCTTGTGTTGTCCCTTGGACCTGGAGGCTAACGTATTCAGGTGTCCAGTGTCTTGGACTTCACTCGAGCAGCTCACTTTGTGGGGGTTAGCAGAAAATCATGGGAGTTTCCTCCTTGGAGGGTCTCAGCTTCTCATCTGTAATAACACTTGTCTTAAGGATCATTGCTATTAAGACAGATTTCAGATATACAGCAACGGGGGCCATGCGAGTCTCTCAAAGATGCTGATTTTTTTTCTTTCTTTCCCTACCGGCTGCATTTGAACCCTGTGTGGGCTGCGCCGGCTCCTCTTCTCAGTGTGCCCGATGACTGAGCCCAGGGCATTTGGGGTTCAGGGCAGCTGTCTTGGAGGCCCCCAGCCCTGCCTAGGAGGAAGCTTGCTGCGTCCAACCAAAATAAGACCCCCCTCGCACAGAAGCCCTGTAATAATGCGCGGCTGAAAGAAGTGAATTCAGCTCTGTCGCTGGGCACATCAAAGGGATTTGGGATAAACACCACGTCGCTGCGTGCGCCCCACGACCCCTCGCTCCCTGTTGCATTTCTAGAGTGAACGCTGCCTCTGATTTTTTTGCTCTTTGTTTCAGGATGTCACAGTACATGTGGGGCTGGCTACAGCCCCTTTCTGGGTTTCGTGAATGCAGGAAGGTGGGGGGGTATTTGGTTTTCCTCTGAATTCAGCTGGTTTACTGAAAAATAACAGCAGTTCTTGCTACATTAGTCCCTATGTAGTCTGACCCCTGGATTTAATCCTGATTCAGTCCTAGCTTAGAAGTAAAATGAGACCTGTTTAAACATGAATGTCTTTTTCTCTTTCTTTTTACTCTTTCTTTCTATCTGTCTGCCTCTCTCTCTTGGCAAGTGGATTAGAAATAGTCATTCATGGATAGATTTTCAGGTCAGCTGGGCCCATGTACCCTCATACCCTCTGGCCTTGAGTGTACGTGGCAGTGCGTCTGCCTAAGCAGGGGTTTGCTTGGTGGGGCTGGTCAGTGGTGTGGACTCGGCAGGGCTGCCTGGCTGCTGCACGCGTGGCCTTCAGGAAGGACTCGGTTAATGGAAATGAAATGACCACCCCTTCAATTCTCCTATGAGATACAAACTTTCATTACTACCCAGGAGAACTTTTACAATCTTTTCTCCTATTTGTGAAGAAGGGTATTTGTGCCCAAAAGCTTGCAATTAAAGAATTTTTTTTATTTTTATTTTTTTGCAAAAATCCAGGTCTAATAAAAGGTATCGCCTCCACCATGGGCTCCAATACACTTGTCTCCCACCTGCCCCTGCTCACCCTAGCGTGGCTCCAGGTCGCTTTTCGAGACCTGCTGTTTAACACAGCAGAAGAGCCCAGACAGGAGGGCCTTGCAGGTGCCTCTAGAGTGACCAGAGCGCTCCTGCTCTGACCCTCATCCCTGCGGGTGCCATTGTAGATAGCGGGTAACTTCTGAAGGATGGGTGAGCAAAAGGGAGAGACGCCTTGTCTGGTTCCTAATGGCCAGGAGGAGACCAAACCCAGCCCGGGTGCCCCCCACAGCCCTGCCCAACCCCAGCCTCACAGTCTGGATGTAATCTTCCTCTGACTCCTGTTCATCTGAGTTTTGCACAGGCCTGTCTCTGAGCATCCAACAGCGCTAAACAGGATTTCCTTAATGAACCTAGTGCAGAGTAGATAGGATCTCCCTTCTTGTCCCTGGGAAGGGGCAGGAAGCCAGCATCCATCTCCGAAGGTTCACGCGATGGCTCAAACCTGGAGATCTCCGGCCCCAGGGGAGCTGGATGGGCACGCGGCACGGTGACACGCCTGCTCCGGTTGTGAACGGACGCAGGTCCTTGTGCTGGTCTTCTTTGTACGGCGTGCGGCTGAACCGTTCACGCTGGGAATCCACCGTGCCTCGTGCACCGTGGCAAGGAAGAGGGTGGGACCACTTTCCTTGCCATGTTTTTTTCTTTCTTTTTTTTCTAAATACGGGGCCTTGAAAAGAGGAGGAACCACACTGGAGTGGGAGGAAACACATCGGTGCTGATTTGCAGCGTGTCGTAGGAGCCGCGGGGCACCCTCAATCTCTGCAGCGTGCTAAGCTTGCACTGGTGTCAAGCCCTTGTTTAGAAATAAAATGAGATTAATCATGTCAGCAGGGTAGGCCCCTTCCCTGTTTGCTGCCACTTAAAATGTCAGCAGACCCCTCTTCGGTAGGTGCCACCACACCACCCTGTTGCAAGGGATTGTCCTGGTTTTAAATGCAGTCCTCTGGACAGCAGCAGATGTGACAGAAGGGCTGTGCACCTGCTGACCTTGAACCCCGCAGCTCGCAGGCCTCCTGTCGGGCTGGTTTGGGTTTGCTGGTGTCCCTTGATAGAGTCTGGTGCTCTTACCTGGCCTCTTAAGAAAGCCAGGGGAGCAGCCAATGCCCTGGATCTGCTGGGATCTTGGCTGTGCTGGTATTAACTCTTTCCCTGTCTCCGTGCTTAAGGCTGAAGAAGAGCTGGTAAAAGCTCAGAAGGTGTTTGAGGAGATGAACGTCGATCTGCAGGAAGAGCTGCCTTCGCTATGGAATAGGTGGGCGCGGCAGATAGTTCGATGGGCACGGTTCGCACGGCCGTCTCCGGACAGAGGTTGCTCGTGGACCGGCTGCTTCTTTTGCACCCTCCCAGCTCTGCCCACACGTGCATGCGATGGGGAGGAAGAAAGTGCCCCGGGGGGAAGCAGGCTTTGGTTACCAGGGCACCTCTGTGCAGCGAGGAAGGCTGTATCGGTCCACGAGCAGCGCCTCTGCTGCGGGGCTGCTGTAGGCAGCTTCTCCATGAAAAGCATTGTACCAGGCCTGCATCTTCGTCTCTGGTTCATCTCCAGATCTCCTTATCCGGCCTCCTACTTTTATTCCTTAACGAGTGTGTCCTGCACAGCAGCTGTCCCAGCCCACTGAGCCATCTGCGGGCTTCCCGAATCCTCTGTACCTGCTGTTGCAACTGTGCGGAAACGCAATGCCACTGCGAAGTGTGGGTGGGTGCCAGCGGGAGCCAGATATCCGCAGAGCGGTGCATGGCCATTTAACTCCTGCTATTTGTCTTCCTTTGGCAGTCGTGTTGGTTTCTATGTCAACACATTCCAGAGTATAGCGGGCCTGGAGGAAAACTTCCACAAAGAAATGAGCAAGGTAAGTTTGCCGGCTGTGTCCATCGCTCCTCACGCGCCGCCAGGTGGTAAATGCCCCCGGTCCTGTACAGGAGGCTGGGACCGAAGGAGCGAGCCGCCCAAGGCTTTACAGTCGTAACGTGGGTGTTTAAACAGTCGTGAGGTCGCTTCAGGGCTTCCACTGGTGGCGTCGATGGTCGTGCATCCCTTTAACGTAGGGGATCCTCTACGCCAATGAAGCCCACCTGAGTCAAACTTTGGGCGGGAGGGTTTAAGCAACTAACATGAATCTAAGTCTCATAGTGGCAGGTTTTTGATAGATTAATCTTTCAAGGGGCAGGAGACTCTGCACTTGCACAGGAGACATTTGTGGTAGTCACCGGGAAGGCACATGGGGCTGAGTCTCCTCTAGAGATGTTTTTTTTTAAATTTCCATTTGTCTTTAAATAACTCGCAAATCTTCCAGGTCCATGAATTATCCACCTGGTTTATATGCTCACCATATACAACCCACTAATCTTTTGAGGGGACCTGGGGCTGAAGTGAAAGCAGACATCTATTTTTTTTTCCCCAGCTGTAGTCCTGGTAACAATACAGCAGCTAAGCAACAAGCAATGTTACGCTCATTAAATCCCCAGCAGTAACTACTTGCAGTCGGGAGATCGTGCACAGGGTCAAAACATCAGCGTTGAGTCCCGCTAACCCTTAGGAGGACCCTTCCCAAACCAGCCTTCTGCAGTAATGACCTGTACTCGCACACTTGGGCTGGCAGCAGGTCTGTTTTTGATGGATGCTCTAGCATTTTACAAGGGGAAAACGTGCAGACCTCCACATTTGGAGTGAATCCCCTTATGTCATATGTTTCATATTTCTTTCCTAGCTTTTTTTTTGTCTTTGCTATGATTGAAGATAGCTGTATGAAACCAGGACCTTTGGTTTGAAAAGCATCTGCTTCCGATTAGTGCTATAACATCATGGCAATGGTTGCAGTAGCGGGCGTAATGCCAGTAACACAGAGTCGTAGCCCGTAGTGCCGGTGGTGGATTTGGCTCATCCTTTTGTTTGCGGCGCAGCCTTTTCACAATAGCAACCGCTGGGGCAGACGCAGAGGAGCGTCATGGTGTTAGTTGGAAACGAGCAACCAAACTCCTTCTCAGGATCACTGAACTGGTGTCTCTGGGTTTCCGGGACTGCAAGTGAGGGAGGAGGGACACAGGGAGTAGAAAAGCCCTCAGCAGGGTTATCTACAAAGATGCTCGGTGATGCCTTGTGGTGTCATTGGCACTACATTTTTTTGGACTCTTTCGAAAGATGGACAGATGATTTTTTTTGCTTATATTATATTCTTGCTAGAACAGTAGAGCCAAAGGGGAGTTGGCATGAATGGGAGCCCGGTTTCGCCAGCCTAATGCATGTGTCTGTGTCCTGAAGCTGGGCTGGCACTGCTGCAAGCCTCACCCAAGCTCTGCCTATTTGTTAGCATTTCTCTCCCTCTCATTTCTGCAGTTGAACCAAAACCTCCATGATGTCCTGTTGAGTCTAGACAAGCAGTGCTCCAGCAATGCCTTCCCTATCAAAGCTCAGCCAAGGTTAGTAGTCCTTGGAGTGGGGCCTTTCCTCTGCAGGGAACAAAGGGACAGGGAGGTGGGAATGTATCCGTCATGGGTAACAACAGTGATTTTTTTTTTCTCCCTCTTTCATACTTTCATACCTAGCATGCAAATGTATTTAATGGTTCTGCCATTTATCCCACCAGCCTGAGGTGCAGCGTGGACTATCGTTTTGGATTGGGTCACTCAATGGGACAAGCCCACCTCTAGGTCACGGGTCTCACCCTTATGAAAGTGCATTGAAGAGTGAAGCTTCCCTGAACCCAAGATACAAGAGCCCCTCATCCCGTCTCCCCCCAGTCTGCATCCCCAGGTTACCAGACCCAAATCTCCAGTTTGCAGGCTCTTGTGCACTACACGTGCAAATGCTACGGGAGTGGCTGGAGTCTGACCATTGCTCCCTAAGCTTGTCAGAATCCAATTATATCCCCAGAGCCTTTGCAGAGGGCCAGTGTCCACATCAGCTCTTTCTCAGCAGTCAACCCTTTGTTGGTTAACTGCAAATCTGCACGGCCTCTGGCTCTTCCAGTCAGAAGGGAGGGAGAGCTCGGGCTCTGGATGAAGCTGTGCCTGGCCCCCATCCATATGCTTGAGTGATGAAGCAAGGCAGGATGCTGGCTCCCAGCTGCTGCCGGTCCCACGTGCTGGGTGAGCAGTAACGCAGCACACATTCAAATCTGTACACTGATGGATCACAGGGGGAATTTAAGGTGAGGTAAGAGAGAACTTCAGTCTGGGGCACTGGCTTAGCAAAGCAGTTGAAAGGTTAGATCATTTGTGGGTGGACTCTTTATTCCCCCTCCCAATATAACCCTTTGTGGTAAGCATATGTGCACACTCGTATGTGCACGCACATGCATGCATGTGTGCATACATATGCACACACACTTCTAGAGGATTTACCAAAGTCACCCACTTTACAGGGGAACCTGTTAGGTAAAAGTTTTCCTCCACTTCTGGATGCACAGGCACAAGTTTCCATCAAACCTCAGGCCAGGAGAAGTTTCCAGTGGAAACCACGATTCTCTCCTTTCACTTCCTAGCCAACAACTTTCCCTATAACATTTGGAGCCCAAGCACTGCAGCACTGTGCTAGTGAATGAGAAGCTGAAGCTGGTTTTTCTGGCTTCTGCCAAATGATGATCTAACACAATAGGGCCCCAACCAGGCATTTCCTAACACAGGGTAGATAGGACCTTTGCTATGTAGAGCGCGGCTCTTTCTGGCATCTCTGCCCCTCTAAAAAGAGCACCTGTTCCCTGATCCACAGCAGCGATAGTGAGAGGTGCTTCGAGGCAGGAGCTGGCTCAGAAAGGCAGAATCCGCGATTACCCGCAATGCAAAAGAGTCCAATGACCTTGCAAAACCTCAGCTGCCTCCTGGCTTTTTGGAGGGGTTCCTGGCACGCTGGTTTTTCTAGCTGGTTACAGCAATCGGGTGAATTCCCTTTACCTATGGGCACCAGGGTGAAATCCTGGTCCCACTGCCATCAAGGGGACTTCAGTGAGGCCGTGGTTTCATTCTAGGTGCGTGTCCCCCTTCTCCTGGCAGCCATCCCCATCCTGCCAAGACCCCTGGAAATGGGGTCATACAGCACAGTCATAAATGCAAGAGCTCTGGTGCCTTCAGCAATGTGGTTTATTGAAGGGAGCCAGCCCCTCCGAACTCTGCCCAGGTGAAACTCTCCTGAAGATTCAATCCATGGGGGACGGGGAGGAGGAGGAAGAAGCAGGAAGGATGAAAGCTGTGGCCAGTTCCCTCCTGCAAAGCTTTGGTCCAGCTGCTCGCCGTAACAACAACTCAGCGGAGGTTTTATTTATCGTTGTTACTGCTTGCCATTTCTGGCCAGCTGTGAGGCCCAGCTCCCTCATAAAAAGTGCTTCCAAGATGATCAAATCCTCATTGTCCCAAACTCAGCTCACATCAGCTTTCTCTGTAGGGCATGAGGCCTCCAAACTCTCCCAGCTGCAGCTTGGAGTGCTTGGCCTGGCAGGGTGACCACCTCTCCACTTGTGGAAAGGAGAAAATGCCATGTGCATAGGAGCTCGCTGCCTTGCTTCATCGCCTGTCTCCATGGAGGGTCTCAGCCAGGCCTGCGATAGACCCGTTCCACGCAGGCGCTCTGGAAGAGGCTGGTTTGCATCAGACATTTGACCTGACGAGAGATGTTTCCATCTCTCTTCCCCATCTTGCCTGAATGTGTGAAGTGGGAGATGCCTTTTGCTCCCTGGGGGGCAGGGGTTTACTGTGCTCTGGCAGGAAACACCCCTTGCCTTTCTCATTGCAGATCAGCGCCTGCAATTAGAGCAGATGCTTCCTCTCATTCATGCAGGCTGGGGAGGGGGGCGGGTGAATACAATGAAAGGAAATGGGTCTGGAGGGAAGAAAACAGCCACCCCACTGCATCCCTGCACTGTCCGTTTGGAAGGACCACAGAGACCGGTCATCTGTGGGGAGCAGCTCACTGCTGCCTATAGCACCATGTGCTCGATGGCATGAACAAAGCGGGGAGCTGGTCTTCTGGACGATGGAGGTGGGCACACTTTTCTCAGTGGAGGTATATAGTGGAGAGAGCGGGGCTCTAATCCCAGTCCACCACCACCACCTCGCAGTACAACCACGACTTTGGTTCAGGTGTCAAGTGAGGGGTTTTTTTTTTTTTTTGCAGTCTGCAAATTGCTGTGCCCTGATGTATTGCAGTGTTCAAGGTAAAGCTCATGCCACATACCTCACCAAAAGCACCCTGCCCAGACAGCACGATCCTGCCATCTGTGCCGTGGTACACAGAGCAGACCCCTTTGTGAACGGAGGGGCTAGAGAAAGGCTGAGTTTTCCGTCACCGATTTACAACGAGACATGGAATTAGCTTTACTTTTCCTCCCCGGGCCATCCAGTAATGGAAATCATTTGTGTGCCATCCTTAACAGAAAGAAAGCTAAGCTGTTCTCGAGGCTGAGGAAAAAGATGAGCAGGTACCAGTGCGAAGAGCAGCGTTTTGAGACGTGTCTGGTTAGAATGACAAGCCTATGTCCTAACCGCCTGGTGTGGTAGCGCGGTGCCTGGAGTGGTTCCTCGCATGATGCCGTGTGCTTCTCATCCTCGGAGCTGGTTGCGCCATTGATTCAGTGTGCTTCTCGTCCCTTGGAGCTGGTTGCGCCATCCATCGTGTGTCTGGAGATGCTTGTGAATTAACCACGTGCGTTTCTTGTTTGGACCCTTGCTCCCTTCCCTGACCAAGCAGGTGCATTCAAAACCTTGGGCTCTGTGTGCGTTCAGGTGCAACTAAGGTTAGGAACAGACATTGCATTTGTCCCAGGACAAGTTGTGCCTGTGTTTGTTCTGGTGCAGAAATGTCCCGGGATTGGCATGTGCACGCATCACCCTTCCAGTTGGGATTTAGTAGGTGGCTGAATGCAGTGCCACTTTTTCTGCCGTTGATTCAGTGATGCAGCCCGAGGACAACTGTTCAGGTGAACTTCGCAGTGTCCCGAGACAAACTGCTAGCACTTATCCTGTGACTCTTTCTAGGGTTTGTCCTGTCACAATGGGCATGGATGTCCAAGCAATTGCACTTTGCCCCGGATAAAATGGCTTCTCCTGGGACAAATGCAACGTCTGTTTGTAGCATAAATGTGCAATGGCAACTGGACTATTTAACAGGGCCTTGGCTTCCTCGAGATGAATCTCAGGTTGAGAACAGCATGCTCCTATTTGCTACCACCAGGGAAGTGAGTTGGCAAGGGCTTTGCTGCTGGCGGGTCCTGGATCTCACTGCTTTGCCCTGCCTCTGTGCAAAGCGGATGAAAAAAGCCATCACTTGGCCCAGATGTGGGGGAGGAGACTCCAGCTTCTCGCTGTTGCCGGTGTCCGTACGGAGGCTGGCCTGACCTCCAGGAGCTGCAGCCAGCAGCTCTGATGCACGTCATACCTGCCGCAGGAGACTCCCAAAAAATGCAGGAGAGCAGAGCGGGGCTGAGTGTACGGGGCACTGGAGCAGATGGAGAAGCATTTCCTAGTTCCGCTTTCCTGGGAATCTCTGCTTTCTCCCAAGGCCGCTTGAAAAACCTCATATTAATGCCATCTGCCTCGTGAGAGGGAGTGCTATGTAGTGGTTAGCGGTGGGAGTGGAAGCCAGACCTCCTAGACTCTGTTCCCAGCTCTTGTCAAGGACCTGCTCTGTGCCGTTAGACTGGTTTGTCATCTTCTCTTCCCCCATCCAACCCTCCTGTAAAATGGGAATGACAACAATAATTCTCATGGGGAGGTCCAGGGAATCGATTCCTTTTCATGGCAGCCTCAAAGCAGCAAATATTGTTGTCCTATTAAGTCTTTTATATGGGAGTTGAAGGATGGAGATTCATGCAGGTATATCTGTTTCTACTTCAGACTTCACTAACCAGAAACCCCTATAGCTTTTATATCGGCTTTATCCCCATTTCTCTACAGCTGTGCCTACATTGGGCGTAGCCTTTCCCTTCAGGTGGTAACACTGCAGCAGCCCTGCCAAGGTCAGCAAGGAGACCTGTAACATCTCCGCCGGTGGAGTTCAAGCTACCATGTCACCTTGCTCTGTTCTGAGCCCATCTGGATGTTACAGCCTTTAAAGTACCAGAGTCTTGACTACACCAGGGCAGAGTTAGTATGATGCTGGAAATACATGAGCGCTGGCACGAAGGGGGAGGATGCATCGGGACTGGGCTGTTCTGCCCTTGATCCGGTCCTCACCATTAATAATAATGTTATCGTTTTGGTTGCGTGTCTGGATGGGTTTGTGCAGCCTCCCATAAAATTCTCCTGAGCTCAGTGTAATTTAGTGCTGAAGAATGAATTACTTGTGGCTGAAAGGCCCCATTTGAGCCTACCCCCCCCAGCCGAGCTGAGATTTGGAGTCCTATTTAATGTAGGACTTTGTAGGATGGAGACTGGGCTGCCTTAGCTTGTGGGAAACAAATGGGGGACAGCGAGGTGACAACCTGGCA